AAAGAGTGTAATGTTTCAGTAACCATGCAGCACTCATGATGTTTTTAGAACTTGTTGAAAATGGTTTTGGGGTTACTTTCGGTGATTGATGGTGGCTTGATATTTGCATGATTTCTGAGCCAGTGAACACGGAACAATTGCAGAAAATAATTTAACATTACTGGATACACCACAACAATTATGGAAATATCAGTTAACAGGTAAAAAACTTTGTTGTTTGTGTGTTGCAAAAATGTTTGTGTGTACTGTGCTTACATGTGAATGATCCCATCCCAGAAATTGATTTTACACATTTGTGTAAGTGGATAGAGGCCAGAAATATTGCAAGAGGAATGGTACCATGATCATGTTTCGTTCTTTAAGTTGCCAGCACTAGTTCTCTTCACCTCTCATAACAACACAAGCAGAACAAGCTTGTGCAATTAGTCTCAATGTCATACCGTCCACAATCACAGTGACTGTGTCATTGTTTTATTGTATTATTTTGATTTATAATTTTTATTCTTTTTATAACTAATTGCATAGTCATTCTTCCCATACTAACTCGACAAGAGTTGTATAATATGTATGTTTGCAGTAGATGTAGTTTGTATAATTAAAAAGAATGTAAATATTTTCATAAAATAATCTCAATTTTGATTCTTGCTAATGTAAACAGTTTGAAACGAGGGACTCTTTTAGACTTCTCACTAATTGCTCAGATCAGGAAATTGATATCGTCTAGATTTTGGAACAATTGTGACAGAAGGGGAGATATATTTGGTTATATTCTGGATAAAGGGAAGGCGGCTTTGTGTTTTAGATTCTCTTCTCCTGATGGTTCTATAAATATTGCTAGCAAGTCACATGTTGAAAATTATTAAATAAATATTTTCTTTATTAGATACATTCATTGCATTTTTTATGTGTTTTTGTATTACCCAATATTGTGTATTGCAAACAGATTTTCTGTTAAAATAAATACTTTAATTGTTTAGTTCAAGATGAGGGGTCCGCAGTGGCCGCGCGGTCTGAGGCGTGGGCCTTGTGCCACTTGGTCACTGGGACTGTGGGTTCGAATCCCACTCAAGCCATGGATGTTTGTCCGCATTTTTCTGTGTTGTGCTGTCCTGTGTACAGGTAGAGGCCTTGCGACGGGCCGATCCCTCGTCCAAGGAGTCCTACCGAATGTCCATAGATCAAGCCAACTGAATGGTTGGGGACCCATAAAGGGTACTGGAAAATGAACAAACATTGTTAAACCGGAAAAAGTTCAAGATGATTCATGAATACCTTATCCTGCTAATGAACTGATTGAGCTGATGCAGCAGGTTCTGCAGGATTAGTCATGATCCAGTTTGGCTGATGCTTTGTGAACAAGGAGCATTGCCTTCCCTCCACAAGGAAGTATAATTTGTGTGCTCTGAAATTGGCTTGGTTTACATTGGATTTGCCTGCCAAGCATTAGAAACATACACACAGTGAAGATGGCTGTCTTCTTGTGTGTTGCACTTTGCAGTATAGCGAATATTGACTGACATTTCAGTGGAGCCTCCATTATCATGGTACTAATGAAGGCTACTTACATAAATATTTGAGAATTGTTACTTGATGCAAATTCTTCTCCAGAGTTACGTCTTTCATTGCTGGCTCAAATACTTTTGTATAATGATTACAACTTGATTCCTGCATAGTAATCACCTTTTCTGATAAGTGAGGTTATAATTTAGCATGTGGGGTTATGTTTATTGCCTTGTGTTTGTATATTGTATGTCAGAATTTGTTTTAAACTTTAATGTGTAGTTTACAGTGAATGAGAAAAAGAATTCACTAGCAAGGGGAAGTAGATGGTAAATTTTTGCAATACGCAAGTATGCTCTATGAGTTCTAGTCATAATTCCAACGGAAATCTATTTTAACGACTACTGCTAAGGCCGGATACTTTTTATTTTCTTGTAGGCCAATAAAACGTGACTTCTGACTTAATGCTTTAGAAAGATTGGAGAATCCCCGCCCTAAAGGCTGCAACATAACAATACAATCATTAGGGTATGAAAGCGACCACGCGTTTCTGTTATCCATAATGAATCGCCATATAACATGTTTACCTTCACTGTTATATTGTTGGTAACACTGAACATTAGCGGAAGTCACTGCTGTGTGATGCAGGTGCTAAATGAGCTGTGTTCCGTATTTCGAATGATGTATGGGTTAGCTACCACAAGGCAGAAAAGGTAATCATAAACACATTAACAATAAACACTGGGTTCTTTCACGTCATTGATACATTAGTCAATTGATCGATTGCACGTCCTAGTGTTTCTACTGCAAGGTACGTATAGATGATTGATGTTAAAATGATTATGAATTGTTGAAAACTGGACTGAAAGTAAATATGTTACTTGCTATGGGAAACCATTTTTCTCCTGTAAGAGCGTCACAATTTGGCATCGTTCTCTAGTTTCTAAAGAGGGCTTGTAAGAAAATCTTTGCTTTTTTATTACCCCTACGTTACTCTTCTCTCTATATCATTGAAAATGCTTTTGTGGTTGCCTGATCGGTTACCACCCGCGTGATGATCGTTTCTTTAGCAACTTCCCTGGTAATATCACTCTGATGTTCTAACACACTGCTTGGAGACTTGCTGCTCCAAGTTAGACGATATAAATCACATGTCGTGGTACTAATTTCGTGTGACTTGGTAACTCGTGAGTTTATAAATTGCAGTTCGTGTTCAGTATGCGTACTTGGGTGCAGAAAAATATATCACATGTTTCAAGAGCCCCTTAATAGAGAAACAAACATACAGAAATCTGGTAGTTCGGCATTTCTTATTACTGTAAGGTAAATTTGCATTTCCTCATTTTTGTTTCTAAATGTGACTAGAGGTTTCCTATCGGATTGCTATCTGAAGATTGTGCAGGCGGTTCCAGTAAACCTCGAACATTACATAAAAGCCATTCTCTTGTTATATGTTATAATGACCCTCGTTGAAACGGACCTCTAATTTGTGTAATTTAAACCCTGATTAAACAACGAAACTATCCGATTTTTGCAAACAACAGAGTTCTTTAGTTTTGCGATCCATGTTAACAGCCAATACACTTGCAACCGATTCCTTTTCATTTATAGGCAAGGATTTGATATGTTTGGGGATTAACATTAACTAGCATTCAGACAGGAAAACTTAGAGTTTGTAAACATAATCTAATCTGTGCATATTTTTTTGTTCATTTAAATTAAGATATTTTTGTTTAGTGTAAGCTGTATTATGGTTAAAAAATTTTGGACTACATATTATAGATTTATTATGAATATTAATTATACATAAAATAAATTTTCTATCTGATCATTGAAAGGATTAACAAGAAGAAACATCGTTGTTTTTATAATTTTTTACCCACTTTAACTCGCAGAAAAGGATCTAGAAGTGTTCGAGCTTTACGTGGAAATCGTGGAACCTGTTGGCGTACGGCCAAATTCAGTTGTGAGTCATGAACCGGAGCGAACTGGTTGTGGAGAGCGACAGAGCTGGAAAACGCAGTGTGTGACGGGATCTACACACCTGCCTACCCACTAAGAGACCGATTGATACCATTGTGACATGTGGACAGAAGATTTAACGACCGTGACTGTGTTTATAAGAGTAAATAACTTCCCACACGAGAAACTATTTGTGATTAAATTGAAGCTAATACATCTGTGTACCACGCAAAAGGATAGTAGCAGTTCAATTTCTACTGGCTGATACAACATTAATGACGCCGTTGTAATGTGAGTATACCGACTGTTTTATATGAAATCTACAGATATGTCTTGACCGATTATGTATATTGATTGTGTAACAGGGCTAAATGGGGATGTTTATGATTATAGTACTAGGACACCATTCGCTGAACTGATCTGTGTGGTCATATAGGTGACTCCTGTGAAGAAATTATCCAAAGCATTTCATGATAAATCCTGCCTACATTTCAATTATCCGAATATTTATCAGTAGTTTTTATTCCATAATGCCGGTGCTCTTTCAAAACTTTTTGTAAGCACCGTCTTTATAATTGGAGGAACGACGGAGATTGAGTTTGGTTGTACATTAACCTCACAAGTGGACTAAGCTCATATATACGCGACATTTTTGTCATACGTCAATGGAGTGTTCTGCCATCTAGCGAAATGTTTTTAAACTCAGTCGTGCTGCTCTATGACGTAGTACGTGCGCTTGCACCGAGATTTGGATGGAAGGGGACGGAACAGTAGTTATTGGAGAAAGGATTTTCTCCTAAATAATTTGATGAAATTGCAAGTTATTTCTCGAACTATGCGAACAGTAGGTCCCGTAAGATTTTTAAGATGTAATTGTGAACTACTCCACTAAATCCGATGGACAAATGAACACATGATAATTAAAGATAGTAAGGAAAGGGGGCGAAGGGTGGAAAGAAAGAGAATACGTAAAATTTTGTATATTGAAGGAAGTAACTGCAAACAACTGAGGGTTAATGCTGTGTCAACTACAGTTTAGAATTTCGGTTTTCTGGTTTAGTTTAAATATTTATTAGAATTATTTTCATACACCATTTTTTTAGTCCTTTATAATTGTGTAATCTAGTTGGGCTCCTGCAGCTTGGCTCCTCCCTAACCACGCCCCACGTGAACTCTCATGCTTTTTTTAACAATGCTGAAAATAGGAAGCATTTCGCTGAAAATCAGCTTGTTCCATTTTGAAGCTAAAGTAACCTCCATGAACAGACATTTGTAAACAGTCCACTGGCTGTTTGTCGGCGTGTGTTACCGCGATGTGTGTGTATGCTAAAACTACATTTGCATAAGCTGAATTATTTAGGAACACTTCTGTCTTTGTTGGTATCGTTGGAAAGGGAGGGGGGCCGAGAAATTAGTTTAACAAGCAAATATAGGCCGAGAGGCAATTTTTTTTACTATAATTCAGAGTGACATTTAGAATTCCAAGCTTTGATAACACTACTAAAAGAAACATAGACGCACGTATAGTACAAAAATTTAGTGTGGAGTTTGAAATGAAGCGGGAATATATACTTTATACAGTATTTGAGTAAACGAAGGTCGTTGAGCTTATCGGGGGCACTCAAATGCGATGAATTCTAGCTGTTCCCTAAGAGAACGTTGTATTTTGTGGATGTGTGCTTCTGTCTTCCCCGGTAGATGGCAACACTACCTCGAGGATGTTAGAAATATATTAATTCCGTAAAGCAGCGCGCTGTTCTCAGCGTATTTAATTCTGTACTATCGTTTATCAACTGTTAAAACTGTTTAAATGAACCTTAAACAATTTTAATATTCAGAAATTGTTACTTATATACGATATAAACTGATTTTGATTTGTGGAAGGAAGCGGTCGTGGCCTAATTTAAGATATTATCCTAGAATTTGCCTGGAAGGACTGGGGGAAAAACCTCGAAGAAACAGTCAGGACATCAGGTCTCCGGGCCGAGGTTTGAACCCGGGACCACTCGACCACGACGTTTCGGTGTGTGTGGCTTTTGTAGATTTTTGCTTAATCCTCGCTTTATTTCGCCCCAACTTCCTTATTTTTTAGATTATTTTTCATGCGTGCTACGTATGTGAACATTATTCTTATTTTTTCTTGAATCTCGTCTCTCATATCGTTACTCAGAGAGAGAAGTGTTCCTCTTGTGTTCTTATACCTATTATCCGTCGAGAGGAGGGAAGCCATGATGATAAATGAAGGAGGATATGGAGGTCAAGGGGACTGCGACTTAAAACAGGGGTGATGGGGGGGTGGGTGATGGTGGCGTCTGCTCATCCTTTGTCATATAGAAGGCTACTCAAAAAACCTCTTCAGCTTATTCTCATAGGCGTTGGTGCTGAAGATAGTCATTTTCGGTGCAAAATGAACACTTATGTTAAAGGTGTGAATTTAGAAACAACGGGATTGGACACTGTGGATCACAATGTAACATTTAAAGAGATATTTGAATATATTTGGTATTTATTTTCTTAAAGATGCCCCAGTCCTTATGAATTAGCTTTGCTCCTACCACGAAATATAAGTATTAAGTAAGTATCCGTTGTTTTCGGTTAGTGACGCGCATGCGCATTCGAACATCTACGCATGCGCAGAAGTCATTACTCAAATTTCAGCTCCGAAGGAGCAGAATTTGGTTACGCTGTGTTATTTTGGATTAGGTGCTGTTAGTGACGCCCATACGCATTCGAAAATTTACAAGGCGCAGATTTCGACTGTTTTAGGGGGGGGGGGACAGTTTAGTTAAACGTTGTTACATTGTATTAGGTTAGGTGAGTTTAGCAACGCCCATGCGCAAATGTTAGAATATTTGCGCGTGCGCAGGAGATAATTAATGACGCCTTAGTCTCAGTATCACTGGTCTCTTTGCTTACGGCAATGAAGTATTACTTATTCATAAGTTCTGTTTTAGAGAGATTCCTTGTGGTGTGATCACGATGTTGGAAACGATTCCATACCAGTAAATTTTTTTTATTGCCTACGAATTAGCGCGAGGTTCCATTTGCTAGTATTTATGCTTCGTAAGTGGACATCCCGCAAAGTTAAAAAGCTTGAATAAGTTGTTCTTTAATTTTTTGATCACCTAGTCTAAATAAGTACAATTTAAAGCCTTTCACGTGGACCCAATAACAAAACACTGTCTTACCTAAAAGGAAAATAACAAGAATTTACTGAACAGCAATATGATATAGGGTAAAGTGGTAAATTGGTAGATTTTAAAGAACCAGTCGTAGACGGCTTGGATGAAGTTGGAAAAACAGGCGAACCTTTTGCTTCAACATCATGGGCCCGAAAGATTCAAGGCACCGAACGCAATGTACCAGACACAAAGGCATTTTTTGCACTGTAGGACTCTTGTGTGTTCAGAGATCAAGATCAGTGAAAAACAGAAATTATTCGAAATTTATTTTTCTGTTGATTTTACAAGCATTGGTGACATACTGGCGAATACAATATTTTTAGTCTGGAAGTCCGACAAGTTTTTTCGTGGACATAAGGGCTTATGAGTTCCGGAAATTCTGTAGTGCCGAAGGATAGGCCGATATTGAAAACAGAGTTTATAATTACAATAAATTATAAATAATATCCGTCTATACAGCTTATATTATTGATATAATACTTCGTTATAAATATTACATAGCCGGATGCCTTCAATAATAAAAGTTTGTAACTGTAGACTAAGCCACGGTGGTCTAGCGGTTAGAACGCTGGCCTTGTAATCCTGGGGTCTCGGGTTCAATTCCCGGTGGTGCTCAAATTTATAACTTGTGTTGGGCAAGGCCGTGGTCTAGGCAACACGGAGTTTTCCTCCGTGGCATCCCAACAATTACTCCATTCACACACAGAAGAAGGCAATGGCAAACCACTTCTGGATCATCTGCCAAGAACGTATATGAACAGGTCCCAGACCGAGAAAAGGATGGAAGGATCCTGTTCATATGGACCTGTCGTGAGACAGAACACTAAATATAATAAATAAATAATAACTGTAGACTAAGTAACAGCGACTTTGTGACTTTATTCTACATCATGAAGTTTGTGTCCCTTATCTCAATTTAGCACCAAGCCCTTCTCTCTACCACGCTCATGTTGAATGCAACGCTCTGCCTGTCTGAAAAACATTTACACCGGTTTAAATGTTTTTCTTCTGTCCGACAACTCAGTACATTACAATATACAGTCACATTTATTTCTTCATGTACGTCTAATCGTGTTACTACACGTAACATGGGCCCTGTCGGTACGATTTATACCGATAGAGGGAATTCGAAATTAAGCAACGTTGTTGTGAATAATATATTTATTTATGGTGATATGACGTAAACTGCAGTGGAAGTTTTATGTTATAAACTTGCCAGAATCATGCTATTTTAGGGTTATTATTTGGCGTAATACTCGTCACTGACTTGTGTGTCTAATGAACTGATAGGTGTGAGATCAAAATATTTTGGAAATGTTTCCTTTGAAAATTTTGAAGAGATAGGCGCTCGGTCACGATATACAAACTGAAATGATATTCATGTCGACATGAGGATTGGTTATAATTTAAGATAAGCTTGACCCAAATGTAGGTGTGAACGTACGTAGTTATATAAACCTATAATTTTGTATGTTGTTTTATGTGGGTTTTGAAATTTGATTTATAAATTTCAGGGAAGAGAATCGGTTTAAGTCGTTGGATAACAATGTGCTGAAGAGAATATTTGGTTATAAGAGAAAATATAAATAATATACTACTGAAATGTAAAAAAAAAAAAAAATGAATTACAAAACTTAGGGAAATATTAAATATTTAATGAAATTGCAAATGCAAAAGTGTTTTGGTCGAAAAAGCCTTAAGGGAACAGTTTAATTGGGAAATCTAATCTTAATTAGGGTAACATTAACATGTATCCGAGAGGAACATTACATAAAGTGAAGCCTTTGTCAGTGGAGTTATCCGATCCCTCATCCAAGGAGTCCTACCAAAACGTCTATAGATCGAGCCAACGAAAAGTTGGGACCCGCAGTACTAAGGCACTTGAAGAACGGGTCGTTCCCAGTATCCCAGTTATGAAATTGGTCCGCAAACGTGGGGAATTTTTCGATCATCGGAGAAAGTAACACATTTTAATGATCTGCAATCAGAAACTTTCACGTGTTTCAGCAGTTGACAGTATGTTCAGGCTGTGACGTATTTCAGGCGCTTAGTGGCCGGCTTTTCGCCATGGGCTCGGGGCGCTACAGTGGGATTTGCGGTGGTCGCTGG